AAAATAATGACACCTCAATCTCCGGAGCAGATTTTAAAAAGCTGGAGAGAAAAATGAAAGCAATTGAAATTAATGGAAAAAAGGAAAATTTTTAATATGGGAAGGAAGTTTTAAAATTCTGTACCTTATATTCCTTCTTCCATGTTTCAAAGAGATCCATTGAAGTACTTCCTTCATCAATGAATTCAACAGCAAATCTATGTGATTTTGCAAATGATAGTATTGCTTTCATAGATCGTTCCGTTTCACTTATTGCCCACAGACCCCGGGTGGTGGTAGGTACTCTATCATCTACCAGTCCTTCCTCATCTTCTATCATCTCCTCAAATATTGCAGTCTGGCCTTTGACTCTGAAAACATACCAGGACAAAACAATGGTAGCTACTATCAGTGGGTAAGAAGCACTTGTAAATGAGCGATATCGGCAGAATGAACACAGAAGCAAAGTCAATAACTTTTCAACAACTTTCAGTGTGATATCTATAAGATCATGCTTGTAAGTCTTTGGAAAAACCATAGCAACTCTGAAAATGTTGGAAGTGTCATAAATTTGTCCAGTGTTTCCTGAGAGCAATATGGCATAATCAAAAACGTCTATAAATTCCAAACTATAAATCTCACTCTGAGAATTAAAACGTAAATCACAATCAATGACCACGCAAAAGAAAAAAAAAAAACCACAGTATGATCTAAAGGTACACTATCAATTCTTCTTTTCAAGGCAATCAGACTTAGAACCTTTTCTCAATTTCCAAGTTTGTAAAACAGAGATAATTTTGCTAATATGGTTATATGCACTCACCAGGTAGCTTAATCCCCAACACAGGATGAAGACTTTGTATGGAGAAAGGGTATTAATAATGAGAGACAACATATGATAGGGTACTTACTATGTATCAAGCACTATGCTAAACAATTATGTGCATTTTCTTATTTGATATTCACAAAACTTCAATGAAGAGATGTTACTACCTTCGTTTCATGAATGAAGACACTGAAGCTTAGAGAAGTAATTTGCCCAGAACAGTGAGTAGGGATTTGAGTTCAAATTGGTCAGACTAGAGCCTGGGATCTTACCACTCTCATAAATTGCCCCTCAATTAATTACACATTACCATGACACGAACAGTTAGGCAGTAACTTCTGCATAGGTAAACTGAGCATGTTAAATGATAAAATGCCAAGGGTTTACTTAACTTGATTTAATGAAGCAAAAAATATAAGTCACTGTGAGGAAAATATGGTCTTATAATCAAACACTAAATCTTGTAAAATGTTTCATTTTCTTGATGGGTAATAATCAAATAGAGAACTTACGTGTTAGAAAATAGCTTTGATTCATACTCTGTGAATAATTCATCAGCTTTACAAAAGACACAGCTGAAAAAAAAAAGTATCAGAGAAATAGTCACAAACATAACCAGCACTCAGGTAATTGCTAAGAGAAGCTTAGTATTTTGTACTTTATTTTTTATTTATAACAGATATGCCATTTTAGAAAAAAAAAATTACATGGTTTTCAGTATCTAGTCCTTGAGGATTTTTTTAGATTAATAATATTAATATTAATAATATATCTCTATTTCTGTCTGAATTAAAATGAAAAAAGTTTTATTATATAAACCATTGTTTCTTCTCTCAGAAGAAATCTAGCTTAATGGAATGGTACCATTTCATTGTATAAATTCTTCTACTACCTACCAGTTGAGAGGAAGTCGAGTTGGTCGGAGGTGGCAGATTGTTGCAGATTCAATAACATCACGAGATGGAGGTCCCTCCAGGTTTTTTACAGCTTCTCTTACTAGCTTCTGGAATTTATATAGCTCTTCCATTTGTGTTGTAAGTAAGAACTGAAGACCTCTACAGTCAGTAAATCTGATTCCCACCACCAGCACCACACACAACACAAACAACAAAAGAATAAGAGTCAATTTTCTCAGATTCAGAAAATGGTTGCCAAGCAAAGTATCAAAGAAACTGCATGCTACATTTTACCCAGCCGTACTGAGTGTGTTTTCCTTAGGAGTGTATTCAATTGGTATCTACTAGTCAAGGTACAATAACATTGGATTGTCTACTACTAAAGATATCAAAAGATTTTGATAGTCCTGTGCTCAAAATGGAAAGAGTATGCAAAATTTATGTCTCTGTCTCAGATATCTTTGAAAGATCAGGATTGCCACATTCTTCCTTTTTAAGGCTGACTGACTGTAAATGTCCCCCTGATGTCCCTGCTCTATATGGAGAGGCGAATGCAGAATGATACATAAAGACAGAAAATTGGGAAAAAAGAAGAAAACTAACCAAGAGTTATATTCCTC